CCTGGCACCAGCGGGAACCCGGAAGTGCTCCGGGCAGCCAGACAATTGGAGCTGCTCTGCGCCCGACTTCCCGGATTCAGCCGCTGCTGAAACTGACCAGCAGCTGAATCAGGGAAGCCGGGCGCAGAGCAGCTCTAAATGTCCGGCTGCCCGGAGCACGTCCGGGTTCCCGATGGTGCTGAACCATCAGGAGTGCCGGAGCATTGGATGCCGGACCAATGGAGTTTTACTGTACTGAGAATTAACATTTGATGATGATACTGTTAATGCTGTCCACAAAGAAATTGCAACAGGGTTACCTCTCTTGATTGCAGTATCAGTGTTTTATTTGTTTGTTTTCTGTAAGGTATGCAAATTAAATTACTAAGGACTTAAATAACAATGTAATTTAACTTACCAGCTTTTTGGTAGAAATTAGCTGTTTCGTAGGCTAAAGCAGCTATCAGACCAGGATTGTGTTTCAGCTCAATAGCTCTGGCAATTGTCACTAAAATCATTAACAAAAATGTAATTGCAGACAGTCACATCAAACCTAATTAAGTATTTAACAATCTGAATTCCTGAGTTCTAATAGCACAGAAATAATGGTGTGCTCTGACAACTGATGCAAGGTTTAGACACAAAATTAAGGCATAACTGAGTAGCACCAAATGAGTGAGCAGTAATGGGCTGCAGGGAGATTAGTTTTCAATTTCTTTATTTCAAAATATTTGGACTTTCAGTTTACTAGATGCTTGAATACAGCATTGAGCAAGATTGCCTGAGACTGAGAATCTCCCACAGAACTTCTTTGAAATTAAATCAACAAATATTTCCAATGTCTTATTGGCATTTAACAAAAGTGAAAATTTGGATTCTGTGTACACAATCAACCCCAAACTATAGTACTTTTGCTCTCACTATCCAAGAGACATCATGACCTACAAGAGAAATCCACAGATAAATGCCCTTTTTTTTTACCTTCTTGAGCTTCAGCTTGGCACTGGATGATGTAGGAGTCTATAAGTCGAGCTTCTAAATCCCTTCCCTTTTCTACAGGTGTAATCAATTTGGGGATATGGCTGTCCTAAGTAATACAGAGATTGTCACTTTCAAGGTTAGTTCAAATAAAAGACACCACTATTACATTTAAGTTTTTTCCCCCTATATACACTTATTACTAAATAAGTACAACTACAAGCGATGTTAAGTCAAGTTAATTGGTGGCCAGGTCACTATAATACACTATTGTAATTGCCTTTCTAGTTTGATTAATAGCCAGTCATAACAACTGACTAGTAGAGTGACTCAAATTGATGGCTTGTTATTTTCCACAGCATCCAAAAGCTCCATTATCATTGCATAAATCCCCTGCATATGACCCAAAAGTTTTTTTTTTAGAAGTTATATGTAACACACTAACAATTCACTGAGTGTTATACAGGACAAGGAGAAGACCAAGTCTCTCTACAGAGAAACTTACAACTGATAAACCTGTTAGAATTCTGCAACAGAATCCATATGGCTTCAAATGCAACACTTGTAGAATTCCAGCAGAAGTAAACTGAAAATATAGGAGTAAAGATGTGTTTTCTACCTTTAGATGTTTAAAAAGCCCAGCTGCTATCTTCAAGCTTCTATGAACGTCTTTTGCTTCATCTTCTGTTATACTGAAAAATGTTTAATGAAATATGCAATTCTGCATCCAAGTTAATATTACACAGCAGAATTATTTACCAGCTCATAATCTTACAAAAAACTTTGACTACTCATATACTGGTTAATAGCCTTGTATCTGAAATTCTAAAGACCTGAGATTTTGTCCTTACTCTTACAGAGCAGTTTTTTTTGTTAACTATTCTTATAGTTTTATTGCTTGACCTTTATTAGCATTGCTTGGCTGTACTTTTTCCCTCAGCAAAATGCTACCTATGAAAGCACCATAGTGGCCGTGTTCATGTTTGCACTTTAAGCAGGACTACAATCCTCTGGTTCAAACTTAAATTTCAAAGCTAAATCCAGGCATTAATCATGCTCATTGTTGGAGAACTGAATTTTCTATATTTATTTTCAGCCTAATATTGAATAGTTTTCATAGAAAACATTATGATTTTCCTTCAGGGGGAGAAATCTCCAAAAGTTAATGCAAAGAGCCACAGTGACTAGAACCTTCTCACTTAGAGAATGTCTGAAGCTACTTTTTAATCCAAGTTGCAAAAAGTTATTTACACAGTTTCCTACAATTTATTTTACCCCTATAATGAAAAGCTAGTAATACTGTCAAGTTCTGTCAGTTTCTTCTGTTCATCAATGCTGCTAGCCGAATTTCCAGCTCTGCCCAGTCAACAGGTGCTATGGGAAGCCAAGGAGGTAGGGTTGGCAGCAAAAGATGCTGGAGAAACTATGTGAACACAAGGGAAACTAGTCTTCTCTCCAATGTGACACTGTTCCATGCAGAAATAAAATATTCTACATTTCAGTCTCTATCTTTAATGTTGTGTTCAACGCTGTATTTCTTCAAAGTTGGATGTCAAAACTGTCCAGTCAGCGAACAGCGTCACTGGTTAGATTGTGGATATCCTCCAGTGAGCCAATAAATGTTTGTGTTGGGCATTCCGCAACAACGTGGTGCATAGATTGCGGATTGTCACAATCACAAAGTGGAGATGGCAAAAAAAATCTACTTACGCAGTAGATAACAGCACCTGCCCTGACCGGTCCTAAGCCAGTATAGAACACACCACAGTCCTAGATTTCAGTGAACAGCAGGTTTATAAAAATGTGGTTAAAGTTTAAATTGTGTATTTCAATGTGAGGTAGAGAAATTTGGTGCATGCACTGTGTTTGGTTATATGCTGCAACAACAAGAAAGTTTGTTGGGGAAGTAAGAAGCCAGAGTACATCTGAATGATAAAGCATGTGAATGAAGTCTGCTTTAAAAGAGGATTTCCTTCTTGTTGGGGTATTATTGCAATGGAACTGCTAATGGAGGAAAACACTTACTCTTCTTTTCCAGCCAGTCTCGATGCATATTTTGTGTACCACAGAGCCACATTAAATCCCATGGAAACCAGTTCAAACACAGCATCCTGCTGGGCACTAAAGCAAAAACCAACAACAACGAAAAAGGTCACACAAGCAATGTCATGCTTGCCACTTTGTTTAGGCAAGTTCTATAATTTGTATAAACTGTTCAAAGACATTTTAACACCAGACTAGAAAGAGAATCCTCTGAACTGTCATTCATGCTTAAATTTGACACTTTACGCCTAGATCTTAACAAAAACACTAATTACCTTACCCATTACAAAGATAGCTTCCCCAATTATCACTTCTAATATCATTAGCTCACAGACATTTACCTCCCCCACTCATCCTCCTTCTGTTCTGAAATTTGATTTGTCCTTTTCATATGTGTTCATTTTTTTGATTGTATCCTTTGGTATATATGGTCATGCCAATTTTCTTCCACTATTTGATCTGAGGAAGTGGGTCTGGCCCACGAAAGCTCATCACCTAATAAACCATCTTGTTACTCTTTAATGTGCTGCATAGACCTGTTTTTTGTTTCGACTAGACCAGACTAACACGGCTACATTTCTATCAATATTCTTCATCTCAGGTGAGACACAATTGGAATGTGAGACTATCACCAGAAAGTATAAAGGTAAGACTTAAGTTTTAGATTTTCAGCTACCAGACACCGCTACAATCATATAAACTCTCATTCTTAACTACACAATTAAAAATATGAAGTATTTCCTATTTTTCACTATAACAATTAGCCTGTGTTCAACTGTAAATAGAGATTATAGAAAGCCCCAACAGATTGGATCCACCCTTTCAATGCAGTGTTTTAACCATAAATAAAAGAAAGAGGCACTTTACAATTCAAAGAACACTGTAATAGATATAAAGCAGAAAAGCAAAACAATTATTAAAATGTTAATGTAATCAGCCTCTTGGTAACTACTTAATGATCACATCATGCAACATTTACTATAGTGGCAGATCTATATTATAATCTAAAGAAACTGGCCACAAACATTGCAATCTCTATAGCCATGGTCACCAATCAGTCGATTGCGATCGACTGGTCGATTGTGAGGGCTCGACCAGTCGATTGCAAGGCATTCCAGAGATATCCTGGAAAAACTATTCTGCATCCAAGGATGCATTTGTTCTTCTTCTTTTCTTAGTGGTAGAGCAAACATACTCTTTCGGTAACCCCTATATTTCTCATTCCATGAGGAATAAGGTGGATTCCAAAAGAAGGGGTTTTTCTAACATTTGGTCCAGTCTAGACAGGCCAAATGTTGGAAAAACCTCTTCTTACATAAGAATTGGGAAAAAAAAGTGGCAGTGTAGAGTGTATAAGGGCTGGGGATAGCAAGTGATGGAGAGGAGGGGAATAGAGAGGGCAAGGCTTCAAGGAAGGGGTGGGGTCTTTGGGGAAGGATGGGGCAATAGATCTTTGCTTGTTCTAAGATTTAAAAAGTGATCTTGGATGTAAAAAGGTTGGAGACCACTGCTCTACAGAATATATACCTTGCAACTTGTCCTTGTAATGTGTCTGTCCATTTAAAATTCTGAATATATCGCAACTTGCAGTCTTGGGAAGAGTTATCCAATGAGACTATAAAGCCTGTCAAAAAAACAAACACAAAACACATGACAACAAGCCATTTAAAAATTAGAAGACAGTGATATAAAGAAGCAAGTAGAACAGCAAAAGTCTCTCAGACCATTCATGTTACTCCTTAAAAGTAACTACCTAATGTGAAACCTGATACTATTTTATACTTTTGATATGATAATCTCTCTATGCTGAGAGAAGTTATAGACCTGATTTTAAAAGTAACACAATACAGTCAGAGACAAGGGAAATGAATTTCTTTCCTCCCCAAAAAAGCAGATGGTTGAGATACCTAATCTGGAACACTTGGTTAAAAGGAAGAGAGCAAAGGATTGTCTAAGCTTTTAGTATTGCCAGGATGCTGACTAAGGCTTCTAAGACCATAATAGGTGACAGGAACAGGAGACATATTTCCCGGTGAACAGACAGTGCCCCTACATAAGTTGGTATAACAAATTATTATGAATTTCATTAAACCTTTTACTGCAGTTTTCAAAATTCTTACCTTGCAAGAATGAAAAGTACATATCAGTTGCATTTTTCATCATTTCTGGATTGCAACTCAAATCAGTAAACAGCTCCAAGATCTGTGCTCTAGATGATCTTAAATCACTACATAAAGAAAACATCAACAAATTTTACACAAAAGGTGATCTTTTAAATACATAACACTCTCTCTTATCCTTTTAGCTAAGTGCAGAATCAATTTAATATACGAGACAGCCATTTGGGGGAAAAAAGAGACATATCAAACACTTCTCAGGGAGGGATCAGATGCAACATGTTTTTTAATCTCTTGTAGAATCCAACATTCATATCAACACTGGTATTTTCAGTTTAAAGTACGACTAATTTTGAACACAATATACAGCAGTTATCAGTTTTAGTAAATGAAGAACTTTATTGCTTACTCAACACATCCAACTAAAAAAATATTTGTTATCCTCCCAAAATGTCAGAGAGATTTCCACATCATTGATATTCCACTAGAATGTGTGTAATTCTAATTACAATCTGTACTAGCTCGTTCCAATAGTAATTTTTATCACTGTGTTTATTCAAAGATCTCAAATTACATTGCTAATATGAATTAAGCCTCACAATACATGACAGATTAGTAGTATACTAATTTCAGATCTAAAAACCCAGGCAAGCAAAGAAGGTAAGTAACTTGCCCAAGACCACATAGCAAGACTATGACAGAAGTTCAGGATAAAACCAAGGAGCCCTGACTCAGTCTCTGTTAATACACACACAGTGTAATTGATTTGCATGCTTTTGCACATGAAGCCATATGACTGTGTACTGCCATGCATAGGAACTGCTATTTGTCCTCTCCAGAGATGTAAACATGGCCAAGGTACCTATCAGCACTGGAATTTTACTCTACATCACTGGACTCCAACCTTTTTAAGCACAAGATCACTTTTTCAATTTAACTGCAATCCAAGATCTACCTCAAATATAAATACCCTTGCCCTGCCTCAGTCCCTCCCATTCTCTGAGGCCCCACCCCTGCTCACTCCATTCTCCCTCTCTTACTTGTCCTCACTGACTTTCATCAGGCTAGGGCAGAGGGTTGGGGTGCAGGATCTGGTCTTAGATTAAGGGATCGGGAGTGCGAGGGAGGCTCTGAGCTGACCTTGGGGCAGGCAGTTGGACTGAAGTGGTTCTAGGTGCAGGTTCTGGGAAGACGTTTGGATGCAGGGGTGCTTAGGGCAGGGGCTTGGGGTGCCGGAGGGGATTCATGACTGGGATAGGGTTTCAGGATGTGGGCTCCAAATAGGCACAGGTTACCTCAGGTGGCTCTTGGCTGGTGGTGCAGTGGGTCTAAGGCAGGCTCACCCCTACCCTGGCCCTGGCCCACTCCCTAAAGCAGCCAGCAAACTCCATTCCAAGTCCTGTTGTGTCCCCTCTCTGATTCGTGGAGAAAGGATACAAAGTGGGAGGAGGCAGCTTGACATCAGCGCCCCTTCTCTCCTTTCCCTGCCCAGAAAGCAGGAGGCTCCCCTGGGGGAGGGGCAGCTCCAAGGCAAAGGGCAAGAAATGAGCAGCAGTGAGGGGAGAGACAGCTGAAGTGCTGGCACTTGATAACCTCTTGGCCAAACTAGTCAGGATCATCTGTCAGAGGCCCAAGATCTACCAGAAGATCCCAATCTACTGGTTGGTGATCACTGCTCTACATGAATAGATGGAATTGTAATCTGTATTTATAAACTTGATTTAAATGCTTTTTCAGAGCCATTCCTATCTTTACAATAGAAGACTTTTAGTTTATTCATTTATGTAAATTACTTACACTAATCCTTCTGCAATACAATACGTGCTCAGCAAAAAGTGATAGAACATCTAATCCTTTTAGCCTCTGTTTTGTTTCCAAAGACTGTGTTATGCAGCATCAGATTTGTAAGATTAGATTAACTCTTCTTTAGAACTGTATGCTGAGAATTCCATCAGTGTTTTATTGTCTTCCAGTCTACAAATCTCTAGTGTATTCAACCAATACTTAAAAGATGTCTATAATACACTCTGAACACTGGGGGGATGGGGAGAAACAGTGTTAGTGTGAAACACACTTACTTGCAAATCTTCGCTGCAGCGGGACTGGTGGTTACGCCATAGAAATTGAATGGGACAGGAGCCGTAGCTTTTAATGGGTTGCGATGAAACCAATGGGTCATTTCTCCCACTGTTTGAAATGCTATTTATTGAAAACCTAAGGAACAAAGGTAAACAGTTACTTGATAGTAATTGGGGTGCTGCTCTTTTCCAAATGGAACATTTGTTGCTCCACTTGGTTCTATAAAGTGCATGAAAGATACATTATTGCACAGGAAAGCCCACAGCAGCAAGACCTTACTATACTACAAAGCACACTGTTTAAGGTGGTAGGCCATAAAGTTTTACTTGCCTTTCCTCCCATGCTGCCACCGCACCAAGAAGTCTCACATTCTTTACAGTGACTTTCCCTTTAACAAAAGACTGGATGCTCAACCACAATCAAAACAGCTAGTAATCTGATGTGTACTTACATATAGCAACATACTTTTAGGAGAAGTTATAAGTGCTTTTTTCCCCACCTTTATCTGGAAAGGCAATAGTTTGATTGATGTGGCCTATACCTTTTTGAGCAAACTGTCACTTTAACAACTTTGGAGAAAGGAATCTCTTCCTTTGGCATTATGTAATGCCCCGAACCTGGGACCTCTGGAGTTGACTGCATAAGCCTCTACTGTTGAGCTAAAAGCCTGCTTAGCTCTCAGCGAAGGCTGCAGAACACACTCTTCTCTCTCAGCTCTAAAGTGCCACTAAGTGGGACAGTGAACTACACCCAGAAGCTGTGTGGATTACTATTACAAGGAAAAAGATGGCCAAAGAAAGTGCTCAGAACAACTATAAATAATGTCATTTTACAATATGCACCATCCCTCAACAATAATTCTTGTATTAGATTACCCTGATTCCCAGGGACACAGAATATTTAAAGACCTAGAAACCAGGGAAACCTTAAAGATCTTGTAAGGCTGCCGAGTCAAGAGCTGGATGAGTCTGTCCATCATTTGGTAGCATAGCTATGTGTTTCGGTGCACTGCACACACTACGAACACGAGTGTGGCGAGCAGCTGGAAGAGTTAGCGCCCCCCTCGTGCATCACCAGCGAGCCCGCGACCACAGCCCCCAGAGCGGGGTGCTGCTTGGCCTGGAGCAGGGCCCCCAGACCCCCTCTCCCGGCCTTGCCCAGTCTGTGGTGCCCTGCTGGAGGAACAGGACCCAGCCCCCGCGCCGCGCCCCGCGCCGCGCCCCGCCCCGCGCCCTCACAGGCCAAGACTCCCAGCCCGAGCGCCAGGCCGAGCTCAGAGCAACCGAGGCCCGTCCCGCCTCGCATCCCGCGGGCGCCCCCGCCGCGCTCTCGTACACTGGGGGCGGGGGCTGCTGTTTACCCCCGCGGACGAGCCAGCTTCGGGCGGAGCAGCAGCTCACCACGGGATCGCTTCCGCCCTCGCTGTTCCCAGCCTCACACGCCCTTCCCCGAGCAGCCCTACTTCCGCCCTCGTCGCGTGCGCCGGCGCAGTGTGGCGCCCACGCCAGCGCCTCGCGCCAAATGGCCGCCGCCACGCAGGCACAGGTAGAGGAGAGTCGATCTTATTGAGACCCTGCAGGCTGCGCACAACCGGGTGCATCGATCTGTGCCCGCCGGGCTAGAGACCTGCTTCCCCCGCACCTCTGGCAAGTAAGGTGCGCACGGAGACTTGCTTCTCCCGCACGCCCCGGAACGTGAAGGAGGAGGGGTTCCCACCCCACCCGGCTCGAGGCCTATAAGGAACTGAATGAGCAAATCCGCGGAGAATTAGCGAGTGTCTGGCTGAAACATCCGGCCAAGTCCCTCCTGCCGAGGGCTGCGTGTGTCACACACTGCCCAGAGCAAGCCCTGGCCCATCTCAGCACCCCCTTTCTCCGTTCTCCCACGTGCAGCGAGTGAACTGTGAAGCCAGCTCTATGCCACAGCGATGTAGAGGGTACAAACGTATCCCCCTCCACGTGAGCCAGGCTGTTAGGAGCCAGATTTGAGGACAGGTTGAATTCCTGACCTCAGCCTCTCCTAAGGGTTAGTGAGCAGCCAGTCCAAAGGAAAGGAGAGCACAGCTCATTGTTTCCCAAAGCCGTTGCTCCCTTCAAATAGGTTACACTTTATTAACAGACCCCCCATCAAATTCAGAAACTCCGCACACTTAACATCTATCCAGCCACAGTGTTCGAGTTCACCTTATTTATACCAGGTTAGTTCTCCTGCACTAGATTTGTGCACCTGCAATGCTACTGCTCTTGCACACGCTGAGCTCCCATTATCATAGAATACTTGGACTGGAGAGGTCAGAGTCCAGTCCCCTGCCCCCATGGCAGGACCTAATTCTAGACCCTCCCTGATAGACATTTATCTAACCTACTCTTAAATATCTCCAGAGATGGGAATTCCACAACCTCCCTGGGCAATTTATCGTTACTAAATAAGACTGGACAACACCTCCAACCGCATCCGTTCCTTCTCTAGAACTACAGATTGGAGCAGCCGATTCTCACAGTGAGGGACCACTAAGGGAAGAATCCCCAGCCCGTTGTGTTTGCTCCTCATGGGCATTCTGGGTGAGCAACTCTACTGGCCTCAGGGAGCAGCCTGATTAAAACCTTTCACAACTAAAATATACACAGATCTGGTCTTAGGAGAGGAGACTAAACCACTGCATGAAACCAGACCCTAGTGAAAGAAGGGAATGTGTGTATGAAGCAGGGGTTACTAAACATAGAATCATAGAGCTGAAAGAGACCTCAGGAGGCCATCAAGTTCAGCTCCCTGCTCTAGGCAGGACCAATCCCAACTAAATCAACCCAGCCAGGGCTTTGTCAAGCTGAGACTTAAAAACCTCTAGGATGGAGATTCCACCCCCTCCCTAGGTAACCCATTCCAGTGATTCACTACTACAGTGGTGGGAACAAAGGAGGAGGAAAGGGAGACGCTAACAGCGAGGGGATTGATTTTTCTCCTGCACGGAAACTCGCCCTCTAATAGCAACTAATAGCCACCCCCGCGCACACACCTTTGGGCTGAGCAGCGGTGGATCGGGCACTTCTGAACCAGCCCCCTTAGTCTGGTTACCGCCGAAAGGCGAAGGCCAACCCCTGCTCCGGCTGCAGGAGATGGGGCTCGCGAGCGCCGGCGCAGGAACAGCTGGGGCCGCGCGAGTCAGAAGGACACGGGCAACCCCCAAACCGCGGTAGTGACTGTAGCCGGCCCAGGCGCACAGTCGCCTGCTGACCACGTGACCTCCACTCCCATGACGCACACCGAGGCGGAAGAGTCCGCACCGCCTTCCTGGCGAGGGTGGGGTTGCGTCGATAGCAACGGCATCCGAGGCGTCTCCCTCCTCTGTTGGGGCCGTGGGTGTGTCCGGCGCAGACTAGCTCGCTGGGAGGGGGCGGGGCCGACTGGAGGCGGCCGCCAGGGTCGGGTGTAG